AATCTGTTTACTGATAATTGATGCACCAGGTTGAAGGCAACTAGGTCACTTTGCTTAGTCATTTTACCAACCTTCCTCGTTAGATTGTATTTTTCTTTCTTCTTTTTTTTTTTTAACCAATGTCATTTCCCTTCACAGCATTAAAAAAAAAATTAAAAGTGCTTTTTCATGTGGTTCCAGTTAAGTGATCTGCCTGCACCCCCAATAATGCTATTTGCATTCAAGATTAATAGCTGCATATCAGTAATTCTTAAATACCTCCTGAATCATATTTTCAATTTAAATGATTTCTAACATTATGGGACAGGCCAGTGCTTGAACCAACACACTTGTAGAGTGGTTGCCAAACAGCATTACACTCAGGGAATATGAACAAGGTTAAGTTCCTGCCCCAGTCTCTTCAGCAATGGCAGGCAGAGAGCCTTACTGCTCACTTTCCCCGGAACTGCTCATTGATTAGCAGGTTAGTAGTTGATATAAATCACAGTAGGTTCGAAGCCCATCCCCTTCTGTGATACACATTTAGACTCTAAACGTCTCCCTGTCAACATCTAGTTCTGTGATTTAGCCATAACCTCTCCACTTTCTGACTTTATCCTTCAGTAAAATAAATAAAAGGGCAAATTAGGAATTTTTCGTTCCTTACAGCTTTCTAGTATTGAGAGGACCTTCCTGTTGCCCTGGTTTTAGGCTAGTTATTATGAGTTCAAGTCTTTTACCACCCATCAAAAAAACTGCACAGGCTTAACTTTATATTACTGAATGATGTTCTTGACTAGGTTTCTAAATGCCAGAGCTAGGAGTCTTTTTTAAAATGGGTGGAAAAGGAAGAGCAGCAATAAAACTAGCCCCTAAGTCAGTCAAAATCCATGGCTTTGCCTATCTATGTGTTGCTTTGTTTGTCTGTCCCTCTAATTTCCCTTAAATTGTATTAATATGGACCAAATATTTTTTTGCTCCTTACCTTTGTCCATAGCTTCAAGCCCCGTGCTTATTAAATATATACAAAGAATTTTCTGTTCCTCTTAGCTTCTACTTTCTAAGAGTTTATAATTGTTCCTGTTCACACCTCCCCCACTCCATTAAGAATTTCACAATAAAATCCTGCACCAAATAAATTAAAATCTGCAACTTCAGACACCCAAGGAAGAGGACATTAATCCACTTAGTAAAATACCCACACCTCCCCCTCTCAATTTCAGCTCTTCTTAGTGTAACCTTTAGTAATTGCAGCTGGCTCAGTATACTTTCCTCCCTCCCTTTCATTCTGAATCATATTGGCCTGGTTTAACCTTCATTTCCTTTCCTACCCCCCACATTTGTTCACGTTATTTTCTTTGACCATGTTTGTCTCTTTTTGCAGCCGGGATTGAAAGCAATAAATAGAGATTTCTAAGAGCTTAATACTTTCTGTTAAAATCCCATCTTACCTCCCCGTCCCACTATTAATGCTTTGTACGATTTTTATGCATCCTTCAGTTGTGTAGTTACTGCTCTATATTTTCCTGATTGATCATTAAGTTATGCTGGCTTTTGAGAACTGCCTCCATAATCCTGAAGCAAAGGCTTTTTACTTGGCATGCTCTTTGCCTTTGGAATGCCTTTCCTGGCAAGGACGGGCATTTTGGTTTGACTATGATTCTTAAGTTACAATTCAAGGCTAATTTGTTCAGTTAGGGTTCTACTAGCAGCGCTCTCTTTCTCACTGTTAAGTGCTCTATGAGGCTGCTTTGTTGAAGGGGGTGTTGTACGTGTAAGATGTAATATACTTATATTGTACTTGATTATCAGTTTTCAAAAACAGCTGCATGCTTTGCTATCTGTGTAAGGAAATATCGGAAGATAATATATACCATTGGTATTTATTACTCTATAATTAAGGATGTGTCAGTGTTTCCCTTTAAAAAACCCTATTTTCAGAAATTCATATCTCAGGCATAAATTTCCCTATGAATTACAGTCTAATACCATATTAGAGGTATCTTCTTTTTAAGTTACCCCTCCCCTTCCTTTTCTTTCTGGGGAAATAAGTTTCAGGATGTAATTTCTGGGTTATCTGTTTGGGATGAGAGGAAGCAGGCCCTTTGCTGCACAATTAAAGGTGCTTCTGCCACAGATGCCACCTGCTCCCTCTGCCCTAGGCCCTTCGCACCAGGCCAGATCGTGGGGCTGCCTTTTGGATGAAGGGCCAACCTTATATCTCTCTGGATCAGCAACTTCACCCTTGCATGATGTGAAACGCAACAGAGAAAATTCAGCTGCTCAGAAATATCACCGGTGCCACAGAGGCTGAAATTTTATTTTATTTTTGCATTATTCTCCTTATGGTCACTTCGTATCAAATGTGGCCAGCATTACAAGGAATAAATCTAACAGTAAGGCAATAGAAATTTATTAACCCATGTTTCTACTGATAGTAAGAAAACAGGAGTAAAGAGGAGAGAAGATGGAGAGACAATGTTTGCCCCTTCCCTACTTAAAGGGATAGTCTTGATCGATTGCATTGACCACAGTCTAACAAAACAGACCACGTTTTAGACCTACCCTTCACCATGGGCCCCACAGTCACTCAGCCTCTCCTTAGGTCCTGCTTCCGCACACCTAAGATGGGGAGGTTGCAAAAGTAAATGCTTACTAGAAGCGCCAGGAAGGTTACCTAAATGCATAAAAGTGTAAAGACCACAGGAGTGGCAGAGGCCTGAGAAACTGATTATCTTCCTAAAGGCATAATAGTAAAAACACTGAAAATATTGGCTAGTACTACATCAGCTCTCATGCACCTTTTAACACCAACAATGTGGACCCCAAGGCAACCTCTAGCCCTTGTATACTGGGGTGGGGAGGAGGGTGGAGGGAAAAATAGAAGTACCAGTGAAATTGGTTCTTCTTAAATGGCACATAGGCGACAATAACACAATGTCATTCAAAGAAAGGCTTATACAAAAAGTCCTCTGTTTCTTCAACAGTCTAGCTCCTAAAAAGACCAATAAATGGTGTGTTGATTGTTTTATTTGTGATAAAATGGAAACATTAAATTTTTAAATATAAAGAATTCAAATTCATAGAAAAAACTATTTTTTTTTCTGAAAAAAAAAAAAAAAACAAAACAAAACAACTATTTTTTTTTCCATAGGCTACAAAACTATTCCTTGAAGTTCTATCTTCTAGCATTCCACCTAAGATGTGCTAGCTGATAAATAATATAAAAGAGAAAAATAAAAATGGAGCCAGTCCCAGTCTGAAGCACCCTTATTAAGCTAGTTGCCAAATAGAATTGGGAGGCTCTTAAGGGCAGGGTCCCCAGTTTATCCAGGCACCAGGGTATGGTCTGGCAAGCCCAGCCCGTTAGTTATATCTTGCCTGCTGGGGAATGCACGGGATTAAAATTTGACCAATCACTGCTTCACAAACTTTCCACCAAAACTCTCATTTGCATAAAGTTGACCAAAACTCTCATTTGCATAAAGTTGACCTGTGTGTGCACTATCTCACCTTTTGTGTCTGTAAATGTTCCCCAGTCCAGGGAACTTGAACACATAGCTTAGGTCTGCTTCTTCTAGTCCTGAAGTCCCGAATAGACCTTGGTTTGGGTCTCTTGACAGGATCAATTCCTTCTATCAGTTTATGAGAATAATATGAGGTTCCCTGAAGATAGTGGTCCTAAATTTCGATATAGTAAAGTGGCCTATAAAGGTGTGGGGACCCTGGTCCCTCAAGATTTAACATGCCCCTAGGGCATCCTATAGATAGGAGAGGAAACTCTTTGCTTATGGGATGAACTGCAACTGAAGAACTGAGCCCACAATTTGCTCCTGCATCTTGAGGAAGAAAGGAGGCAAATATTAGTACAGGATGTGAGCAGTATGGTTAGCAGCTCAGAGAGCAAGCACTACCACACAGCTCTGCATTTTTCAAGATTAAAAAAAAAAAGGGTTCATTTAACATCTCCCTTCATCTTCCTCTATTAACTTTCAAAAGGGAGTTTATAGAGCTATATATAGTTTTCTATCTTGTATCTGTAACACCACAAGCATTAGTTAGAAATGATGATCAGCAGTCCCAGGAAAAAGGAATCCATGGGCAGGCAAGTCTGACCCTCTTCATAGTTTGATTTGTTTCAGGGTTGAGGTTAAGTTCTTGGCACTTGGTGAGCAGAGGAGAGTGTAGGCAGTTGGGCCAGTTTCTTGCAGTGTCTGAGGGAAATGGTTTTCTGACTCGATCAATAGTTTAGAATCAAGAAATGTTAAAGACTAGCATGATAGCAAAACTAACCACATGCTTCCAAAGTATTTATAGCTCCTATCAAAAGTATATCCAATAATAGCATCTAAGACATTTAAACAGTCATAAAGGGTAGAAATAAGCCTTGTGTACAACGACACAGCTTAAATAGACTATTAATCCTAGCGTGAACATGCTTCTTACAGTTATGTCTGTTCTTTTCTCCATCATCTTTCTGATGTAATAATTTTTGTAAAGATACTGTCAATTCCCAAGTTTTTATTTTGTTATACTGTCACCACATATGTACATATCTGAGCATCAGGTAGAATTGTTTGCATGTTTTTAAACTCTCCCAGTTACATTTTAATGACTAGCTTTGAAAGGAGGGTATGTTATAGGAGCAATAGTGTCCTGTATCTCAAATTTTAAAAATGAAACATGTCCAAGTCAGTGGTTTATAATGTACTCTCTTCATTGTGCAGTGTAAAATCAGATATTAAATACTACTCATTTTTCCACTGAAACAGAAAGGCAGTTAGGATGATGCTTGTCAACAGTCAATAGAACAAAACTCAGAGGGTATGTCAACACTAAAAGAAGCATGGGCTATCATATGAAAATTGATTCTATCACCCACAGAAAGTATCTTGAGACGTAAATGAAAAAAATTTTTTTGTGGTTCATAATATTTCTGGGTAGCAGATGCTTTCTCAAAAACAGATTTTACTTTTAAAAATATCAAATATAATTAACACCTTCAACATAAAATGAAATCTTTGCTTCCAGATGCATTTCAAGGTGTTGAAATGAATTGATGCAGCCCTCTATGGATGAGAGTTCCCATTGACTACTGATTCTGCTGCCATCTTTATGTGACACGTCTGAAGAATTGTGAGTAAGAACTGGACATTCAAACTTAACTATATTTGAAGTGTGCTTCAAACGCACGTGGTCTATAGATCTTTTGACCTAAATATATGATCAACATGGTGTAAATGAGTAGGTTAAGAGCCAAGTACTCTGTTACTTATGATAGAAACACGTAGTCTGAAATGGATATTAGGTAAATCAAGGCAAGCATCTTGTACATTGTATGAAGGTCTTGGTAACAGGCAGGCTTTTAAAGATATTTAAAATAAAACGATCTCGATTTATTTTAAAAGAATAAAATTAACAGAATTGAATGATAAACCAAAGACCAAAATTTTCAACAACTGTACTCAAAACAAGAAATAATGGGAGTTTTTGATTTCTTTAGTGAAAGTGAAGGAAACAGGACTAGGAATTAAAGCTATTAATTCGTATTCTCAATTATCCTCTAACTGCAACAAAATATGTGTTAACTTACTTAATTACATCCCAGTCCACCCTATCATGGGTATTAAGAAATGCACATATGCACGCACACAGATAGGTATCTTTTCAAATGTTCAGGAATTACACATTTGCTAGACTTTATTTCTCCTTTGCACCAATACTGAATCTGACAGCAATAGTTTTAGGAAGGGGCAAATTAAATGTAAACTTTTTTTCCATTTATGTCTTTTTCAAATTTTTTTTTAGATTCCATGTATAAGTGACTTCATACAGTATATGTCTTTGTCTAACTTATTTCACTTCACATAATGCCCTCAAAGTCCATCCATGTTGTCACAAATGAAGAATTTCCTTCTTTTTAGTGACTGAATAATGTTCCATTATATATAACATATATAATAGAATATAAAGTCTACACATTTGTATATGTATCACATTTTCTTTCTCCATTCATCCATGGATAGACAAAGTTGGTTTCTGTGCATTGGCTATTATAAATAAAGATGTAATAAACATGGAGTGTATATTGCTTATCAAGTTAGTATTTTGTGTTTTTCAGATAAATACCCAGAAGTGGAATTACTGAATCATGTGCTAGTTCTGTTTTTTTTTTTTGAAATTATGTTTGTTGAGGTATTGCTGATTTACAGCATTATCTATGCTTTAGGTGTATATGTTCACACCTCTATAAATGTATGTTGTTACATACAATGTAAATTTTCCTGTGGGAGGTATGCTGGGCACAGCTAAAGACAAACTTTGATCTGAGTTTACAGTTATAGAAAAAAAATTATGTACACAGATAATTTTTAATATTGTATTTGCCAAAATCAGCAAAATATTTAAATGTTTTAGATGTAGTATCTTAAAGGGAACTAGTCTTTTTGCCCCTCAAATGACAAAAACATATATGGATAGTTGTTATGCATATAATATCTTGTCCACTACAAAATATGAACACGTTATTTCCAGAACAGAAAAACATAGTGAACTTCTTGGCTGTGGGATTATAGAATTTTGAGATGTCATCTACGACATAGCACCTCTGTGACTGAAGCAAATTTGCTGGTCTAGTTCATCTAATTAGAATATAAGCCCTGCCCAGGAGCAGTGTCTGAGAACCTCTTAAGCACATTTATATCTTAACTTTTCCTCTCAAAAGGAGCATATCTGTTAGATTTGAAACTCCTCAGTCTTGGTTCAGGACTTCTGAAATAATCCCTAAATCCTGTATTTTAATGGTGAGAAGGCAATTTATTCAGTGATGTGTCCCTGAAAGCTAGGGCTGGGGACCAGTGCTGTGATGTCTCATCATACATTATGGCTCTTATACTAGTTATGGAGAGGACTCTCTATGCAGTGATAGAGTTGTTGTTTCTGTTTTTTACGCTTCCTGCTTTTAAATTCCCAGGCCTCCTGGACTCAGAACTCCTGGTTTCTTTGATCTGCAAGACTGCCATTATCTCAAGGCTCTCTGACCTTGCTCTATCTCCTGCTAACGATTTTGCTACCTCTTAAATGGGTCCGATCAGACCCCTGAACCACTGCCCACACTATCTCACATGCCCGCAGACCACATAATTCTTTTAGAAGCCAGAGACCCGGACTGGCCCTTGTCAACCCTCTTCTTCCTGACCGCTCCTCACTCTGGCAGTGAATAGAAGTTACTCATTTCAAAAGCTAGGAAAGTTACAATTTACCTGTCAGTAAACAGAAGATGGTTTATCAACAGACTTTACCTTAATGACTACAAATGTTTACCTCCTGCTTTCCAGAATGCAAAGAAAATCTTGGAAATGTCATAATATCTTGCAAACATTTGCAAAACAGATCCTTGTTCATCCGGAAAGAAACAATTGTATTCGTTGTCTCTGACACAAGGAAAGTGTTCCGCGAGAAACCTACAGATAGATGTACACACTTACACGTAAATGAGATATGTTAATTAAAAACTGCAGTGGGCACTTTATTAAAAATTTATTTTACAATCTAGCTGTTCAAAACATCTTTACATCAACAAATACAGCAGCTTGACTACTGGAATCATAAGTGATTTATCGTGTAAAGATTGTATTTGTAGCGGGATGCAAATATTTTAGAAGAATATTTATATCAAAATAACTGATTTTGTAAGAAGCATTTTTAACCCTGTAAAAAAAGGAAGACAAATACCTCAGTGTTCATTTTCTAGGTGAGATGGCTCCACTTAGTGTATTTCCTGTGTTTGTCCGAATTACAGCTGTTTATCTTGCAACTTTCTTAGAGATAAATTAAATGCAAATGTAAGTGAATCATGGGAATACCTGCCAGACCCCTTATTAATACCTTCACTTTAAAACCCCTGTGCCAGAGAGTCATTAATTTGCTAAAAGAAAAGTGCTAGAGCAGCCCTTGGCCCACAACCTCCTCTGAGAGGGCTGCCCAATTAGTCCAGTTGCATTCTGAGCTTCCTTTCAGTTCCTGTGGCCCTCGGAGGACACAAGAAGGCTCCGATGATAACCTGGCAACCTAGGTAGAATCCCAGCCAAGTGCGAGCGTTTGAAGCTGCAGTTTGGCTGCCATCGTGTCGGCGAAAAGAAAGAATTCAGGCACCATGTCATCCAGTACAAAGGATAAAAATGGATTCAACCGGAAATTCAATGTGGCACCACATATGGGATACATGAGTGCGGTTATACAACAGGCCACATATTTTTTTTGAACAGTCTCCTCCATGTGATGCCGAGGACATGTGTAACCATCATAACGTCTCTAGGAATCTGTATTTAATTTGAGTTGGGGTGGTGGCAGGGATTGGAGATCTGAAGCCGCCACAGGTTTGTGGCAGATGGCTCTGTGTCAGCTATGACAAGCAGCCAGGCTCAGCTTCCTCTGCAGATTTTCTTTTCTCTCTGATCAGGTAAATATGGGCACACTCTGGAAAGTTCTACAGATTCTGCCTTAGGCTGCAAGTTTGTGACTTAGCCCCATCTGTCACAAATCTTCCTTAGGTTCTGTTGTAAGCAGAGACCTGAATTTACCACATAGGGCTGTCCAGGAAAAGGGAGTCATTTCACCCTGTAAGGGGGAGGGAAAAAAATAGAGAGAGCAGTGGAGACGCATTAACGACTGAAAGACTAAAGTATGCAGAAATTTCATATTGCAAATTTGCATGACTTTCGTCAACTACATTTCAAAAAGCCACCAACTAAATGGTTCCCAAGTTTCACCACCTCAGGAAATCCCAGTTGCTGATTGGTTTAAAGTGTAATTATTTCCAACTATAGGGGAACACTCCCTTATCTTTTGCAAATGGGTATATTTTGTTGCATACATACTTCCTGGTTTATGTTATGGGTGACAGCTATTAGAAGTTTATCATCCAACTTTTAACTTTTATAAACATAAGATACACAACACTCTTAAAACATGTTTTTGCTAATGTGAATTCTACTTTTAAGTGGTGAAGACATAAGAGAAATGCCATTACTATTACGTGGAGTTTATAAAGCACTTCAAGTTTACAAACAGATTTATATTCATTATTTCAATATATCAGTATCTCAGGGGGAAATGCTAGTAAGAATTAACAACAACAAAATTTCTTCTGAGTTGATAGATAAATCATATAGAGGCCAAGAAGTTCGCCCAGAGCCAGGCTGCAGATGAGTAGTTGAGAAGAGCAAAAAGCCAAAACTTCTCACTGATCTCAATCACCCAAAGTGTACCTATTGTGCTAAGATATTTTTGTCTTATTTCACTTGACAAATCAAAGGAAAATCAAGCCAATACATCTGAGGAAGGGAGGGAAGGGTGGGGGAGAGAGAGAGAGAGAGAGAAAGTTCTAAAAGTGCCACAGTTTCTAGGCTTTCATTTTTTTAAGGTAAAAGTAACGAATTTGGAAGAGTGTTAATACTTGTGAGCAACACCTTTTCACATCTAGAGTATAAGCTCAAATTAAAAGGGGACTATAAAGTGACCAGTCTCTTGAAGGAAACTTAAAGTGGCTTAGCTGTGGTTGGGGTAGATATAGCCTGACATAATTAAGATAACCACAAATGGCTTTTCTGGGCACTGTGTCTGAATTGTGAGCTTAATCATTGCTTGGAATCACTTTTAGGCAGAAATCTGAAAATTCTTCTCTTCTCCAAATAACAGCAGGTTATAAAGGTTTCTGGAATGTTGAAGAACTTGAAGGGGAGAACAAAATAAAAATCAGCAGCTATCAACTCAAAAATCTTAGGAAACTACAGGTCACTCTTATAAAGCATTAGTAAGAATGACATTTCTTTTTATACAGAATATTGCACAATTTGTATATAAAGGTACAGAAGAAATATTATGGGAATTAAAATCCCTTCTGTTTATCTGGGTGGTATATCTCATACAACTGCCCCACTTTGTGTTCTTGTGCTATTTTCAATACTGGTAACAATTGAATGTCTGTAAACTTTTTTTCTGAAGCATTTTAAAATATAGTGATCCAAGGGTTCTCTAAAAGTACAAAGTACTGACATCAAATCATTGCTGGAAATTTTCAGAAGTAAATTCACATAGTGAAAGAGGTAAAAATATAGAGCTTCATGTGCTTATGTTGGAAAAGGAAAACTGTAATAAATCAACCCTTGTGTAGTCGCTTGATGATTACTTCTAGAATCTTGTGTTCAAGTTAGGTTTGGGAATCAAAAAAGAGGTGCTTATTGTAGATAAAGTGAAACCTTGTCTATGTGACAAGGAAGTGTCCAATGTGTCTAAACTACTAAGAAAAGGAACTATCTTAAAGCTCAAAGAAGCTACAGTAAATGACTAAACCTTCATGTAAACTTTTTGAAAGAATAGTTTTGGATTTTTAAATTAAGGAAATGGCTTATGATTTTTTAAAGAATTAAAAACATTTAATTTCTGCATGCACTGAACTTCTGTGTGTGTGTGTGCGTGTGTGTGTGTGTGTGTGTGTGTGAGAGAGAGAGAGAGAGAGAGAGAGAGAGAGAGAACATCTTGCATGAACACAGGGAGCTTAAAACATTTCAAGTCTGAAACCATTTCAGGTGGGAACTCATGGACACAGTGTTTTGTAGTAGAAAGAGTCACTTTAAGAAAAAAAATGTAGAATTCTGTTTCTGCTTTTTAGTTATAGCATTCTGTTTCAAATCCTGCTTCAAGTTATAGCCCCAAACTCTCACTCATATTGAAAGTATAATGTCTCATGTGAGAAGAAAGCCAAGTGTTAGTAGCCTTATTCTAGTCATTAAATTTCTAAGTGTGAATCCATATGAAAAATCCTATCCTAAAGTGAACTCTATATGTTAAGCAGTTGAGATGATTTTAAAATGTAAACTTTTAACAAAAAAAAAAAAAAAAGGGTAAGGTGTAAGAATATAAAAGGAGCAAATTAAAGAATTCTGTGACATTCTATCCTTTTAGATCTCAGAAGCATATGTTTTATAAAAGCAAGATAGCACTGTCCAATGAAATAACTCTAAAATAAACCCCAACATTTTCTTTAGAGCACATACAAAAGACTCTTCATTGCATAAGCAAAGTAGATAAAAAGCTGCTGTAGGGGAAATAATTCTCTGGCATTTAGAGAAGGCACATGCTACCTGAAAATGTGTGTGTTTATAAAACATGAGGCAAAGAAATACCATAACTTGGTATATCTTAATTATGAAGTTTTAGAAAGCATTCCTTTTTTTTTTTTTTGGCTCTAAATCCTATTAGAACAACCACACTAACCCTGTTTTCCTTCCTGTAATTTCTATTAGTTTCTCCTGATAATTGTATCAGAAAGTTCTTGATTATTTATAATTCCTCGACTATTTTATTAATTTTTGAGATTATATTTTTTAGACACAATATTATTAAGAATGAACATATATAAATCTTATAGATTTATATGAAAAATCCCATGTTAGAAAACACATAAAAGTGAATTACACAGATAAATCCTTATAAATGCTTATGAATAAAATACTAATTTATAAAGCTTTGTGATGGAGCAATTTAATGTGCAGACTAAAAATTCTGTAAAATGTATTAACATGAAATAACATTTAAGGTTCTGTTTTAAGCTGAATGAAGAACAAATTGGCATACTGACAGCATACGACTAAACTGACTTTTTTTTCAAAATTTTCCCAGAAGTTATTTATAAAATAAATAATTACAGCTATGTTATGCAATAACTGTATTAAAATATTTCAACTGTGTATCTGTTTTCCTTTGGAACTAAAGGCAACTTGTTGCAGTAATTTTGAAATGGTTAAAAATTTGCAGACTGAAAATAAGGATAAGGCCCAACCTGAAGCAAAGTTAAAAATGAACAAATATTTTAAAAATGTTTTCAAATTAATATATGTATTAATGAGATTCCATTGTTTTACAGCCTTGTTAATTTTTTCACAATACAGAATTATTCCCTTTGGGTGTGGTTACCATAGTTCTCCTACCATTCAATCACCCACAATCCTTCACCACAGTCCCAAAGTCGACAAATCCTGATGGTGGAAATACAATCATAAATATTTCACTATTCTCATCACAACGAAAAAGACATTCTTTTTTTGTGTATTTATATGAAATGATGGGTGATAATTAAACTTATGATGGTAGTCATTTCACAACATGTGAAAGTCATTTGCTGTATACCTTAAACTAGATACAGATACAATTGCTGTATGTCAATTATATCTCAATAAAACTGTGAATAAAGAAATACTTTACCAAAAATCATCCACAGGGGAAAAAAAATCAAAATTTGATGATGAATTCATTGAAAATAGCTCTGTGTCTTATGTAGAAAATGAATCCATTTATATTGCTATTTATTATTCTATTTCTTCAGTTATTATCTGTTTATTTTGATAGGCAATCCCATGGGAAACTACTTGATGACTATTTTACACAAGCAGACCACTACTCCACTTAAAAAATTAGGAAATATGGAGGTAACCCTTGGAGGGTTGTTTTCCCTGAGAAGCTTCCCATTTATACCGTACAATTGTATTGACTCAAGGAGTAATACTGAAGCCTGGAACTGTTCAGTCAGCATTTTAAACTATTATGAGCTACCTTCTGAACCATTGCCAAGTTAATAGACAATGAAAGATAATGAGCTTGAAATTGGGTGTTAAATTGCATTTTTGGTTCTCTCCTTTTTTTTTTTTTTTGAAGTTTAACTGTTTCCTGCAGAAACAAAGTCATGTTTTGATGTATCGCTATGTAAATATGTATCTTAAGCCATGGAAAGCAAAAGAAGAGAAAAAGGGCAAAGAACTGTATTTTATGTAGGAGGGTTATATATTAACATAGGAAAATTAAAATACACTGGATTATAAAACTCCTAGATTGTAAACTATACTGAATTTATGTAAAATGAAGATGCTACATTCAAAGAATATAAAAAGGTATATTATTCATGGCCTAGAGTCACCTCCAAAACCCATAAAGTAGATTTATCCTTGTTCAATTACTAGACTTTTAGTAGTGCCTCTTTGTGTTGTTATTTGCACGATGTAAATTTTTTGATTCAAATGAGGAAAAAAAGATAATGAATGACGGAGCTGAGTGATGATGCTATTTTTAACAATTTTCCTTTTCACTTTGCCAGTCACAGAGGAGACTGACAGTCTTATTCTAAATAAACTCTGGGTTTTTATTCCATTTTATTAAACTGGACAAGGGAAATATTTGATTTTCGAAAATCATTTTTAAAGTAGTTAAAAAATGAACACCAAACTTCACTAATGTCATTCACCTGAATTTTTGAGGACTGAAGATTTCATTATGATGGGAAGAAAGGCTTATCCTCATTAGTATAATTGTAGAATCTTTCCTTTACTTCCTTTTAAACTAATGAGTTACATTAATCCAGGTTCATTTTTATAAGCCTCTTGGGGCTAAATGTAAAGGACAGTCATCTTAGAAAACAATAAATTAAAAAAAAAAAGCATGTACCGTGTATTAAGTGCACGTATTTCATAAGACCTAGGTTAATACAACTGGCATCCAGTTTAATTAATCCTTGTTAGTGTAACAACTAATATCCCTCCCTAGCATGTTTCCTTTAAACATTAGTATGTTAATTAAATGTTTTTTTTAAAGATTTTTCTTTGTACTTCAATATGGCATTTATACTACGTAAATCTCTTCTCAATAACTACCTTATAGAGATGTTTTCTTACAATATCTGGTCTCTTGCAGAAATTCTGGAGCCTTTTTGAAAGCTGTTCAGGTGTAGAATACAGATATTCAGCTGCAGGAAAAACAGATACATTTTTAATGAAACAAAAACCTCAAAGCACACACTCGATATTAGTCACTTTACTAATTAAAAATGCATATTGCTCTGTGCCGCCTCGTGTTTTACATTATTTAAGCATGATTTTATAAGGTTACCTCAGCTCACAAGGATGTTTAATGCTAAATAAGACTGTGTAGTTGTGCTGTTTAGACATCTCCTTTGGGTGATTAAAATACATTATTCTAATGTAACACAATGCATATGTGATATATTTAGTGATGAGCATTTTTTCAAAGAACTGGTACTATAGCCGTATGTATCCTGTACAACAGTTGCATATTATTAACTAGTCAATTGTTTAAATAATTTGGTGTGACTTTCAGTCCTTGATTTTTCTCTGTGTATATCATTAAAAAAAAAATCTGTAAGCAATTGCAGCAACACTGACCTGCTTATAAAAATCTATCATTATGGGATGTGTATGCTAACAATGAAGAATGCTATTTGGAAACTTGCTTTTTTGTTATCTTAAAAGAACAGATGGTAAATATAAGCTTGCTCTAATGTATTAAAACACATAAAATTTTCCTTAACACTAACATGTTGACTTGCCAAATAAACAATTGCTCCTGCCTAAGTTTATTTTCAAACTTTCTAATTTAGCATGAATCATATTAAATCTCAACAAAGACGAAAGTACATTAAAGCAGCTACCTGGAAATATTTCAGGATAAACCAAATCTTTGGGACAAAGTGGGTAACAACCACAATACACAGCTTCCAACCTAAAGAAATTTTAGAAAGAGGATAAAAATACATTAAAAAGATATTACTGTCATAGCCAGAAAGTGGTTTTGTTTGCCTAAGTTAGCAGTGTAAGTCCAGAGTTAACTGGGACGAGAAACATGGTCGGCAGTACAATCCTAAAAGCCAGAGTTGCTCTTTTAAAAGATTTTATTGATCATATATGAATTTCATAGAACAGAACCAACAGCATATGTTTTGTTCACTGAATTAATCAAAGCGTAGCTCTGCATTTTTTTTTTGTTTTTAAAATACTGTTTAACACATTTTATAATCAGCAGATAAACACATGTAACAACATGGTAAAGTATGGACAGCTTTTCTTAATAATGCTGCAAAGCCCCAGAATGTTCATTTTTCAAAAATGTTTAAATAAGATAGCAAATACTTAACTTTAAGATGATAGCCATAGAAATGATTGAGATACTTTTAAAAGCAAGAGAAAAAAAATTTACAATCTGTTGTGATGGGGCATTTTCATTTTAAGCTCATGCTTCAAAATAATTTGCTATTATGCAGAATGTAAAAATATTCCCCCCTTTTATTGAAGAATTCTAATGAAGATTATGTTAACAAACATTTTGCTTTCTTAACTAAAAATTCAGCTCATTTTCCATTTTTCTAGAAAAGAGTACTTTATTATGAAACAAACAAAAATGAAAAGTTTCACTTTGTGAGAGCATATCCCCAAGGACCACCTATAGGAAGTTTTTCTTCATGTCATTGTAGTGAAGGGTTAAGCAGAGGGGAGGTATTGCATCTGGATGGCTGTGTTAGCCCTGCATAATGGCTATTGATCTGACATATAATAAGAACCTTAAAGATACCACTGTAATTTCTTTTGGCTAGAATTTATGCGGTGAAATTCAAAATACTCTTTAAAATGTTTATTTTATGAGAAACTTTGAATTGCATCCAAAATGTTGACCAAAGGCAGAATTTTATTTTGAACGGCAGATTTTTTTCAACCTAAGAATAATTTGAAGTTATGTCAATGTTTACCTTGTTTATTTACAGTGACAAAGTACATGCAATTTAAGCTGTTTTAAGTGGGTGATTTTTTTTTTCTATTTTATTATGTATATGAAATTAGTTTAAATGAAAAGTACTTTGAGCTGCAAAGTTTGGAAAGATTTTGAGTTCAAAGTTTTGTTTGATAACTGATGAAAGTTACGAGATAACACAGTAGAGATTCACAGGATCTAATTACTGACTATTAATTCAAAACCCCAACTAATATTTAATATTTTTCTTTTCTGCATAAATAGGGTATACATAGATACTCTTATCGTAAGCCCAGCTCTAAAGCTACAATGTGACTGCATTATAAAACATTCACAAAAGTTTTGAGCACATAAACCAGTGATATTCTTTATGAACCAAAAGAAAATATGCACTTTATCTGAAGACACTGTTTTAAAATGCTGTGCCAATCTAAAAGCAAATACATATGAACATTCTCTTATAATTACATAAAATCAAAAGAAGTGAAGTCACAGGCATTTCAGAAAGTGCACATGTTATCTGCTTTTTAATAATGGATTTGAATTAGTGTTCTGTTCCCCGAAAGAAAACTGCAGGCCAAGTTACATTTTGAGTCATCGTATGAGCATGCATCATGCCATTTGCAAAAAACCCCTGCTAATTAAAAGACAGTGAGATAGGAATGGCACTGTCTGGTTTAGAAAAAAAAAATTACAAATTTGGGGATTCAAATTTATGTGTGTATTATCTTATTTATGACTATATTTCTATTTCATTAAGCAAAATCCCCACCACTTTTGGTTATAATTTTGACTTGTTAAAGTGCTAAACTTTATCACATACATCATTTAGGTCAGGACTATGTTGTAAAATATATTAGATAGGCCGTAATAATTTTTAAAATTTATAAAATTAATTCTCATAAGTTTCTCATATTTTGTTATTTTAAAGAAAATGATCATCTCATGAAAATAATATAATTATTCATCATTTCAATTCTTATGCACTATCAGTTAAATAATAAATAGGGTTCCAATTGATCTATTGTTAAAATGACTAGCAAATGACCTTTTTATTCCAATTAACAAATCATCTGCTAAATCTATGAATCTTAATATTCAGATCTATTCACTTCAATTCATACAATTTATCTGCAAATAGTTGTTGGGCTTTTGATTCTAAATATAATTAGCTGATAATTTTGCTTGGCTGAATTACTTTTCTGGAGGGCCTGCAAAGGCTCTCAGTCGCATTATCTAGCAATAATGAATCTGATAGGTGAAATTTTTTACTGTAATGAGGATGAGACACAGTTGTGACACCTGAGTCTACTAATAACAGAAGACTGCTAATTATCGACAGCACTTTTTTGTGTGATGCAAGGAGAAAAAAAATCCCTCATTATTAAAAAATAAAAAGTTACAATTATAAGTGACACCGGAGGAGAGTAAATAAAATGGAGTGATTAAAACATTGCTGCTTTAAGGGTGTTTTTAATTAAGTGGAAATGCTAATGTTGTCATACTTAGCAGATGGGATTAAAATTAGTTATTGTAAGTAACTCATATTTTATGTTATGGTTTCCACAGCATGTCTACAAGATCTAAGAAAGTGATACATTCCATAAGACATTTTAAAAATGAAATTCTCATACTCTTTACAACTCATAATAATGAACATCATGAATAAACTATTGAAAAAAATCCTGCCAAGGATTTTACCATAGTGACTTAACTAACAAGGAATGTAGCCATAATGTACTGGACTGTTACAATCTCACTGATGGTATGCCTTTTGCTTTGCTGATTGTTGCATTCCCTATTTCATTCACACTCAACAAAAACAAAAGTTTGGTGCTTGGGCATTTAGCCAACATCAAATGTGGTGTCAAGAAGGTAGGGCCTGGATACAAGGAAAGATCATGACCACCCACTAAGGTGATGTTCTAAA